AGGCAGCCTTGGTATCTGGGTGGGGGGTAGGGAAACGGGGGATCTGGCCTTCGGGAAGGGTGAGAGGGCCCGCGGTGGAGCGCGGGTCTCCCTTCCTTCTCCTCCCCTCGCCCCGCAACAGCCCTTGGAGCCGTGGCGGAGCTGCGGGAGCTGAGCGGGTGCGGTGGTCTGTGCCCTGGCTCTGACCGCGCCTTTCCTCTAGGCAAGAAGCGCAAGTTGCTGTGAGGCGTGAGCCTGTCGCCTTAAAAAGTGTCTGCGCACCAGTGCTGGCACGAACTGCTCCATTTCAGACACATAGAGAACTCCAGCGGTTCTGCTGAAGTTCTTCTTGGCTTGGAGCTGTGCTTGCCTGCTGACCCGGTGGGATCTCGCACTGGCTCTGGTAAGCTTATTTACAGCTCCTGGGCTGAAAGAAAGTCCTTGAACACCACTAAACTATGTGCAGAAAACAGCCAGGAGCTGCCTAAGAATGAGGATTAGTGTAAATAGCTATTGCCTTGGCAATGGTTTTGAACAGATACTGTGTTACTGTGTCTGTTAACGGCTACTGAGCAGACAATAACTTGATTTTGGACAGGTGCTGCTTTTGTATGAAGTACCACGTGGCTGGGTCTTATAAGCATGTTCAACTTCTAACTTCTAGAACCCTTTGAAGATTGAAGTAACTACTTTTAGATAACATCCCTCATGCTTCTAGTACTGCAACACCTTGGAGAAACTCCTCAGTGCAGTGGGTTGTGTGGGTTTGTAGACAGGTTCTGTCTGTTTGTGCAGTTTGGTACATTTTGTTCTCCTCCTTTACAGGCATCACTTTGTAATGTGTGCATGCTGGGACGTGTAAGAAGTCTTCCTAAGCAAGTATCATCCTTTCCTATAGGAATCTGGTTTTCATTGCTAGAGGGAGATCTCTTGAAATACTAGCTAGTGCTATGCTTTTTCCTAACCTTCCTGTGTCACGAATAGCAAGCTTCCTATGCAACCAGTAGCTGCTGACTCAGAGCCTTCACATTAAACTGGGCAGTGCCAGTACTGCTTCTGCTGCTTGTCAAGCTGCAGTGGAGTGAAAACCAGCCATGTTCTGATTAGTGTGTATTGTTGCTGTTCTGGGCTGTGTACATGGCAGGAGGCCTCAGCAGGAGAAGAAATCAAAGCAGAAGCAAGCGGGTCTTATCAGTAGTGTTGCCTCATGGTCAGGGATGGCACTTTAGGTCTTTGTAGACTGCTTTTTTTTTTTTTGTGTGTTGTTTTTTTCTTGGACTGTCTCCTAGCAGTTGGGTAAAGTTGGTAGTTTGTATATTGGTAGTTAGGTAGCCAGCCTTTCATGGTTAAGTTCTGCAAAACTCCTTTAAGCAGGTGTGCAGGCAGAATGGTAACCTGGGCTCTCTGTTGGAAACAACCCCTGTGTGAAGAGACACGCTGCAATGGTGTGAGATCACCCTGGCATAGAAGAAGATAAAAGTGGAGAATCTTTAAGAAGGCATAAAGAATTGCATTAAGGATAAGATTCAGTTAGCAGTTCAGTACTGCTCCTGTAGTCCTAATGAGTTCAATGGAAATGCCTTGCTTTCACATCCCAGCTGAGTAGGAGACACTAAATATTGTTCTTGTAGTGTTTTCTTATGGTATACTGTGGCTGTAGAGACTACAAGTCTTTCAACAGCACAAGGCATAAAGATGAGCTGTGAAAGGCAGTTTAACCTATGCCAGCTGATTAATGGAATAAGGTAATGATGGCAACACCACTGACTGGACAGATGTCCGCTCTCTTAAGTGGCTGGTAGCTTTTCATGTAGGCAGCACAATTCATATAGATTAACCTGGTAGTAGTATCTCATGGTTAATAAATCCAAACTAAACTATGAAGTTTTTCCCTCAGTGCTCACGGTCTGTCTGGCTTGGTACCTCAAAGCTGGTGGGTAGGGATTTGGGGGCTCTCTTGGTGGTGAGTCATGGGCCCAAATAAACTCCTGTCTGCAAGGGATTGCAGGTGTATGAAGTACAGTGGTAAGTGCATAGCATTTCAGTGCTTGTGTGTTGATTTCTTTCAGTACTCTAACCTTGCCATTCAAACATCTGTTGGTGATTGCTTATCTCCATTATAGAGCAAATACTGTTGCTTAAAACAGTATTTTCAAGATTATGCTGAGTTCTGTTAAGAGCCCCTTTGCTGCCAGCATCATTTTGGCACTTCATTTACCTTGTTGGCTGAAGCTTTAGGTTCTCTATCACTTGTTTGATGAGTAACTGCATGCAGATTCACTTTCCAGCCTCAATTGTAGGAACATTTTCATGTGAATTATCCTTTTAACTATGACTAATAGCCAGATGGTCATTCTTCTGCATCACTGCATGATTCAAGCTTACAAAGTATGTTTGGAATTGGAGGCTTGGCCTAAACAGCAAAGTCTTTGGGGACTAAACCAGTGAAGCAGACAGACCTTTCTTAGTCAGGTTACTATGCATGTCACTCTACTGCTAATACTTGCTGTAAGAGTACAAACAAATTGGTGATTTTTAACCTAATGACTATTTGGTGGTAGAAAAATCATGCAAGTAATTTTACACAGTGATTCAGCTTTCTGCGTATCTTAAGCTGCTTAACGTTCTGCTCAGGCGTACAACTGGCCTTGCTGCATGCAAGAGTTGTGTGCATTTGGATCAGCTGCTTGGTTCCCTTCCCAAGCAGTCTTTTCTTCCTTTTAATCAATAGCAAATGGAAACTGCAGGCTTTTAATGTGTTGAAAGTGTATTGCTATTCATGCCTGCTGTGTATGTGGGATGTTGACAAATAATAGAATGTAATGATAGGAGTATATTTCTCTCATCTGAGACATTTGAGAGATCACTAAAGAAATATTGAGTGGGAGGGGGTGAAAATGAAAGATGAGCTTTGCTTTTTTTCCCCTTCCCATTGCTGGCAGGCAGGCTGGCAAAATGAGCTCTAACTACCTCTTAGCTTTTGTCGGCATGATTCTCAGTGCTGCATTCTGTGTCCCTCTGAAACACTATCACTCTGCTTTAGATAAAGTATTACAGACTGATAATACATTAATATATTTGATTTTGATCTTTCTGTAGACACTAGTAGAACTGATTCACTGAGCAAAATTATACCTGTCCTAGTAACAATAAACTTTGCTGGGTTGCCTCAGACAAGTGGATAGACTTGTGTTTAAAGGGTAAGGTGGCTTCAGAGCTCAAAGGATTACTCGAAGGACTAGTACTGTTTTGTGGTTTTTTTTATGGTACAACTGAAAAGCAGGCACAAACAAGAGAGTTGTCTAACCATTGGAGAAGGCATTTGTATCCTGTGTCGGTGGTAGATTGCAGGTGACTGATCTGATCTGTTCTGAAACATGCTAGAAAGGGATTGCTTAGTCTTTTTCACTAATTCTTTTGAAAAAAAAAAAAAAACCTCCCTCTCTGCCTTTGCTGATTGAGCAAAAGGTAGGGGAAAATTCTCTTCTCTATTGCTGGTGCTTTGGCAGTCTGGCCTGTTCTAGGCTTCTGTCTCGGTCTTGAATATTACAAGATCTGTCACTGTTACAGGCTTTTTGTTGCTTACCCAGTGTTCTCAGTGTCTCTTTTCTTGCTGTGTGGCTTCTCATCTTGCAGTGGTCAAAGAGCTCCTGCATCTATTTTAGCTCTGAGTGTGTGTGGTGCGGTCAAGCTGCCTGTCCAATGCAGCAGTGGGTAGAAAGTTTGTGGGACCCATCAAAACCTCTGCGAGTATAGGAAAGCTAACTATGCAAGGCTGGTAATGTTCTTTGCAATCATTAACTGACTTTAGAAATCTAGGTTCTGCAGGATCTGGTAAACCAAGTGTGTCAGGTCAAGAAGCTAAACTGGAGACACTAAGTTTGTAACCTCTTCTTTTACGGTTGTTTTTAGCAGCAATAAATTGTGTATTATAGCACAGTCTTTTGAGGCTGCTTTTAAAATGGCTTCTTGACACCTCTTAAAAGCACTGTATTTAAATGGGACATTAAAGTTGCGTTTGGGTGTTCTGAGCTGTGCTGCATCTGGCTCTAGTTGTAATAACATTTTAAAAAAAAAGGCAAAACAACTTCAGGTTGTGTTTCTGTCAGTGTGAGAAGATTGGTCAAGACATCACTTAATAACTTTATTCAGCAAGAGATCTGGTAAGCAGCAGTATCACTTGCCCAAAGGTCTTGGGCTCACTGTGTAGTAGAGAGCTGTAAAAATAGTGATGGTAACAGGCTTTGTTTTCTCCATTCTTTGAAACATGTAAATACCTTTTTTTTTTGTAGCCCAAAAGCAATGATAAAATGCCAATTAGCTAGTTAGGTTTTATAGTTGCATGCTGATGTCTTTATATTGTACTATTGTACTTAAAGATAAGGTCAAATCTACAAAGTTGAGTATCTGATTCCCTTTCAAGTCAAGGACAGGTATCTTGGCTCTAGAGCTGATCATGTCAGTCACTGATGGGTATCTGGGGACCTCCATATGAAGATTGATTCTGTTCCCCAGGGTTGGCAAAGTGAGTCTCAGTTAATTCTGAAGAAATACTTGGACTAAAAGGCTTTTTTTCTTATTGTCTCTGGAAACCTTAAGGGCTAAAGGTGAAAACCATCCGCGGGAAAAGTAAATCCTTACTGGTTTTGTGGCAAGCTTGCCTTGTTTGGGGGATACAATTCCCACTCTCAAGCCACACTTAACCGAGAAAACAGAGAAGCAAGAAAGCATAGGTATTTTATTATTTAACTGCTTTGTTTGTATGAGGAATTTTAATGCCACTTAGTGACATCACGGGGTGCTGGACAGTTGAAAACAACTTGCACATAAAATGTGTAGCACGTAAGAAATAATTGTCTGTCTTATACTGGTGTTAATATTAAGTAAGGGAGAAAAGTGACACAATATTAAGCCATAACTTATAGCAGTGTAAGAGATCGCAAAATTGGTTCTTTTATGTCTTGATTAGAGATGAGTACTGAAGCAGAACAGCAGCTTCTCCATGATGCTAGAAATGGAAATGCTGAAGAAGTTAAACAGCTGTTGGATACCATGGACAAAGGAGAAATAAGCTTTGATATCAACTGTAAAGGTCAGTAGCCTTCCTCAAATGTTTGTAATCTCACAGTTGAAGCCCCAGGTGGTGAAACTGTTACTGATAGTATAACCTTGCTTTCTTTGAAGTGTTCAAGAAACTAACAAGAACCACTTATACAATTGCTTTTAGCTGATGACTCTTAAGGCCATGCTTGCATAGGGGAGAAATCATAAAAGCAGACTACAGATAATTGTAATGTCCAGAAAACCTCAGAGTAACTCACCGATTCTAGGAATGCCAACAAGGCAAAGAATTGGGAACTCTTTTCTGCCTGTGTCCATGCTTATGCCAGCTTTGAAGCTTTATAATATTAAACAAAACTGACCATGGTGCCAGGGGGTTGTTCAAGGAGGTATAGAGTCTCCAACAAGGCAGCAGAGAAGATTAGGTAGTTTATTTTTGCTCTGCTAGGTGTGATTGTTTTTGGCCCATGTTTCATTATAATGTAGTAGGAACAGCTACATCTCTTGCCACTTGCGGGAATGGTTGGAACAAGTGTATACTTGTTACTATTAGAAATAAACTAGGTTACTTGGGCAAAGAAGGTAAAACTGCCAGTTGTCTGTGTCTAGGTCTTCGGCCAATGTGAAAGTTTTGCATGTGCATAGCTAACATAGTTACAGCTAAGCAACTTGCTGAGCGTTAAAGCTTCAAACTGGGCTGCATCTGCAACCTTGTTAGCAGTTGCAGACTGCCCTACTTCTTTTTTCATTTTGTAGCTTTCTATTTCTCTTTATTTACGTGTGTGTTTCTGGTTGTTTCACAAAAGTGGATGTGTATCCCACTCTGTCTACATGGGCTCCTATTTCTTTGTTCAGCATTTAACTGTTAAGCAGCCCTGAGAATATAATTGCTCTCTCCCCTCTGCCTTTGCAGCAGTGTGTTTTCTCTCAGCCATAACAGAAGGAACACCTTAGCAGGGAGCCCTGTTATCTGGACAAGCTCTATCCCTTTCCCAACTCTAGTTCTTAATCATCAGTTTACTCATCCTTTTGTTTGACTGCTCAGCCATGTGCATTTTTTCCTGATAGTTAATGTGCTCACCTCTGAAAAACAATTGTAAACTCCAAACCCTTGATACTTCATCCTTGGGGAGCTAGTTTGTTGTTTAAAGGGGGACTAGACTGAGCTTGATGGTGCTAGAGTCCTCAGCCCTCACAAGTGTGTCCTTTGTGAATATTCATAAAATTGTGTGTAGTGCCTAAACAGCTGGAATAAAAATACTTTAAGATTCATGCAATACTATCCATAAGTTGCTGAAGTCTCTTATGCTTAGAAGATATTTCAGAGCTTTCAGATGTGTTCTTAAACATAATCTGAAGTCAAGAAAGGATAATGAAATGGCATAATCTGCAGTCCTGTATTATATCAAACAAA